ATAAAGTTATAAAATACACCAGGCAATGATTGTAATCTATCCAAGAAATATTTGAAGGACATACTCGACTAAATAAGTAAAGAATCCTGAAAATTTCGTCTATCTATTGACAGAACGATTTCTACCCGTCACTCTGATTTATTAAGCTTCTGATTTTGTTTTCTTGTATTTGATTTTACGTTTCTAATTAGTCTTTTCTTAAGGATTTATAGTTTTATAGATGCAATATTTGTAACTCCGTCATAGTAAAAAAATGTAGTTCTGAAAAAAATTTTGCAATGTTACCGAGGCAAATAAGTTAATAACAATTTTCTAGGATCAGCCTCCTCGAAGTTCTATAATAACGTTATAACTGTGAAAAATGCAGAATTTGCTACTAATGTTTTCGTCTTCCTACTATTTTTTTTTTGCATAGCCTAAACTTTAAAAGAAACATAAGCATAAATAGTTCTTATTCTGTAACAGGGTCGTATATCTACATCGAAGCCTCTCCACAAATACCTGGAGACGCAGCAAGGCTGTTTAGTGACTGGATGGAACCCAATGAAGTAGTTTGTATTCAGTTTTGGTATCACATGTACGGGTCAGACATTGGTAATCTGAGCATCTATTTAAGAACTAACCAGTCAGAAACAGTTGTTTGGACACTTTCGGGAAATCATGGGGACCAGTGGAAGTTCGGACAAACAGCTTTAAACAGTCGAGATGCCTATAAGGTACGTTTCCCTGTATTTATCGTTACCGAGTACTTATGACTGCAAACCTTAAGTTTTGTTTATTGACATCTATAGTTCATGAAATCAAATGTATAGAGGTACTTTTGCGATCATTGAATGATATCATAACTATCATTATCGCTGTTATCACTACTCATATCGTTAATGCTATGGTCATCCTTTTTTCCATCGTCATTATTGTTTTTCACAAGTTTATCATTGAAGGAACGGTTGGCTATGGAAGCAGCGGTGATATAGCTCTGGATGATCTGACATTGCTTGATGGTAACTGTAAGACAATTATTACACAGAGTAAGTGATCTTCTGCAAAGTAAGATGTCTAGAAGCTAGTGGTTATTTATGATTTTTGTTTTCTTTTCGTTGTTGCTGGAGGAAGAGTGAATTAGAAATATTGCAAATTGATGTTTCTCATGATCCGTAATTGTAAATTTATATGTTGCTAGATAATTCCTTGCAACAAACAATCTTTCGACTAAAAATTGCGACTCAAGTTTTGCCGTTAACTTATTGGAAATTTCGCTGTACCAGCGCAATAGAAAGGCCAAACGCAAAGAGAGAGTTGCAGGAGACAAACATACGCCTTGGTTATAGCACAGTGAATATAAATAATTTACAGGGCAGTTTTTTTTCTTGGTCGGTATGTAACGATAATGAGGTCTTCCGACCTCTTTGCACTTTTAGAGAGTTTGGACTGTGACTTCAAAGGAGACACATGCGACTGGGAGGCTCAAGGAAGGTGGACCCTTTCAAAAGGTGTGCCATGATTGAAAATTTACCGTGGAGCACTCTTTATTTGAGAGTCGATTTGAACGGTTATTGCATGTCTTTAACAATTTCCGGACTCTGATAATTATTCTCTATAATTATCTCTTATCAGATGGTTCCTCTATTTTTCTTCGCCCTGAAGCATACGCGGTGCGTCATTCTCTATTTTCGCCTCCGAACATAAATACCAACGAATGGAAGTGTTTTCATCTTTGGTATTTCATCGGAGGCAACTACGGTTATGAAGGGTCGATAACAGTGCTATTAAAGATGTTAAAATCAAACCTAACGAGTTTACTTTTCTTCGCGGACAAGGCCACATCTGAGGCAACATACACACAAACACCTTTACCACAAAATTTCACAGATGCCCAGGTATTTACAAAATACACTCGTGTTGTAGCAGTAGATCTTTCATAGGTTTTACAAGCTTCTTATGAATTAGATTTATTTTAGATAAATTTGATATTTAAGCTTTTAGCTTAAAACTAATGTTTCACACTCAAGTGGTGCTAGTCTGCTATTGAGAATGACATCATCTCATATCATTCTGTAGATCGAAATAGTGGGAACGAATGAATTGAAACTTCTGGCTATCAGACAAGTATCCTTTTCCAAAGATTCTTGTGAGCATATTCCTAAGCCAAGAAATGGTAAGTCTCCATCACGATTGATGGCGTCTATTCACGCGCATATTGATCCGACTGTTGCGTTTCGAATAATGACTATGTAGCTCTAAATGTCAATAACAACGAAGGTTTCCTAATTGTTTGGCTCACGTCTGTACCACGTTATTCGAAGTATATCATGACTATTATCTTTATAAAGAGACTAACAGCTATAAACAGAGCTTAAAGGATAACCACTTTCGTAACCGCAAAAAAAGTTTCACTCAAATATTCGATGTCGAATGATACAATATCAATTTACACGGCGTATAAGGTATTGAATTTGCATTAATAGAGTCGAAAGACATAGTCGCTAAATACGCCTTGCAAGGGCCTGCTTGAAACCGATTTTTTTCATATTTTATCATCATGTGATCTTTAGATTTGCATCAGCATAAACCTCTTGGAATGGAAAACAATGAAATCCTCGACAAGAAGATCACCTCATCTTCACAAGTTGATGAGGTTCATGCCGCCATCCAAGGAAGACTTCACTTCCAAGCAACCCCAGGCAAAGCAGGGTCTTGGTCGGCTGGTTCAGAGGACTTAACACCATGGCTTCAAGTTGATCTGAATATTCGGAACACAAGAGTTACTGGCGTTGCGACGCAAGGGAGAAACGGACCCTTCGCTCAGTGGGTTACGGAATATAAGCTCCAGTATAGCAATGATGGGGTAAGCTTCAATTACTACAGGGAACCCGGAAAAGCCTCAGAAAAGGTACGTGCGAGATGTAATAAGACGTTCATCACGAATGCATGTCCAGTACAATTCAAAATTTTTGCAGTATGTAAAATTCTGAGTATTGACGAAGCTGGTTCAAAGAGGCGGGAAAGACGGCTGTTGATATTAGGTTCGGTTGTCAGATGGAGAAACATGCAATTCATTTGTCAATGTGTGTTTCTTGGGAACAGTTCCACACGCTCGCGAAAAATAGATGATGTATTTCTTCATGACCAAGCGCTTATTTGCACAAATTATTTTTTACATCACTTATCCTCACATGACAATTCCCTAATAAGGCCATTTATCTAACGAACATTATCCCGTAAGAATTTTGTACATGAACAAGGCTTAGCACAGATTAGTCATATCTTTCCGAGCGATTGTTTAGGGGCTAAAATGTGTGTTGATTAACATCGTAGAACTTATTATTGGTATTTACAACACAAAATTAACATAACGCGATCTTTTGTCGACACAGCACTTTGCTGGAAACGCTGACCAGGATGCTGTTGTTTTTCATGAACTTAATCCACCAATCAGAGCACGTTACATCCGCTTTCGACCTGTGGCTTGGAACAAAGCAGCTTCAATGAGAGTTGAACTGTATCAGGGTGTGGAAGGCAAGTCAATTACTTATGGACGTTTAGTTCTTCTATCTTTTCTTTTCTGCGGAAACGCTTGGAATGAGATAGAATATTCGGTATCACTTCGCAAAAAAATGCAAACCAGTGTCGGTGTCTTTTTGTGTGTACAAATTATAGACACCATTGGCTAGAATAATGATGTATGTATATCCAAGGGAGCTCTCATAATTAACGCTGTCTAGAAGAATGTTATTTACAAGTCTATGGAAATGTTTTAATTCTCATA